GAGTCAGCTGTGGTAGGAGAAACAGAATCATAGTTGTTTTGTATTTTATAGCAACTTGTATTTTTTAGTACCAACCTGATTGGATTTAAGGCCCACTCCATGAGAGGGAATTCATGTCTAGTACTTAACTTAGTCAATAATCCATAGTTGATGAGGCTTAGTTCCTATAAACCAATGTAATATTGTAATTTTGCTAAAATGTCATGCCACCAAACTGCCTCCTAAACATTTATGTTTACATCCACAAAGAAATGCTGCTCCCAGTTTTAACCAGAAAGGCTTATCTTTGCAACAAAGAGTGATGAATACAGAAAGACATGGTTGCTTGAATTTCTGAGGATAAGTGAGGGTGAGTTTTCAGCCCTAATCAAGGCATTTATAACAACTGCTCTAAGGCACAGAGATCAGAGTGGAAGAGGGCAGAAGTAATACAAGAACCAAAATAAGAGAAAGACTGTACATTACTGCCTTCTGGTCCTGGCACAGACAGTGCAGTCATGACTCATAGCTGGAGGCTTCCTCCAATAGGCCTATATAGCACTAGCTCTATCAATCATGGATCAGGGAGGGGCCCATTCACCTGCCTTTCCCCTCCCTGCTGGTCTCCTAGTGGATTCTGCAGGAGGCATACTCATTGCTTTCTATTATATACACTCTGAGGAACCCTCCAGGCTCCAATGCAATAGTTACTAGTCTACTGTGGCTCAGACACCCTGGGCCAAACTCAGTGGATCACAAAATGAAACAAAAGAAAACAAGTATGAAAAAGGAATTTGTAGGAAGGAAGGTGAGATGGAAATTAGAGATCAATATTGGAGAATACTTAGGAATTGCAGATCACAAGGGGATACAGTTGTGTGGAAATAATTAATATGAAAAAACCTATGTGCTATATAAGGTCATGTACCTCATAATGGTGTTTTGTTAACAAACATCAAGCAGAATACATTGATGATGTGGTCCAATAACTGTCATGGAGCCAAAATCCTATGGCCTAGACTTTCCCTAATCATCATTATATAATATCCCAAAGCTCCATGTCTTTACAGTAATTCTGGTGTAAAGAAAGCCTACCATATTGCCGGGCACATACCGTTATCACACGTGCAATTACCAAAAGTGCAATGTTGTTGATATTGATAATGAATGACTGTGTCATTAGTTTATAAACTTGCCATGTTCTACCATATTATCTGTCAGTGTTTTAGATTGTACTTCTCTTTTTTAGAAAAAGGAATCTGTTAAGCAATAGCTATGTTATTGCAGCAATTGCTTCATCTACCCTATGTTCCTGTGTCTCCTGATTATATCAGGGTCCCATGTGGGGTGAATGATGTACCATCTTGAACTGTATAGGTACACTAAGAAGAAATAGCTGATACATTTCAGGAAGTAATCTTGATTAAAAATATGTGTCACTATTCTGTTTTATTGGAAACTTTTCATTACCGGATATATTTTTTAAACTCTTTAAAATTTATTTTGTTACTGAATATTTCATCTCCAGATAGTATATTTTTGATGGGAGTGTATACTTTCTTTCTTGTTTCTCATCACAAGGTCAATGTGCACATCCTTTCCTTGTCATATAGAATCCTAGTGTGTATGTAGTTCCTTAATGAGTTAAGTTTTTCTCAATAAAAACCTTAATCAATTAATTTATTGAATTATATAGGGAAGGAGTGAACATTTCCTTTCCTTTTATTTTTTATTTCTTTCTTTTTATTTTATGTGTATGAGTGTTATACCTACATTATGTAAGTGCATCTGTGTTGTGTAATGCCCACAGAGGACAGAAGAGAGTGCTGTATTCCCTGTAACTTGAGTTACAGAAGGTTGTTAGCATCATGTGGGTGATTCTAACCCAGGTCTTCTGCAAGAGCAGCCAGTACTCTTACCAGCTGAAACATCTCTAGCCCTTCCTCCCTCTTTAAAAAGCACAAATAAATATATAAATAAAGCACATTCATGCCTTAATAGCTGAAAAAAAAAACCAACGTAAATGTGTTTTTATCATGAACTAGTCCTTCAGAAAACCAGCATCATATGTGTGCTCCTGATTTAGCTAGCTCCATGCAAACTGTCATGTCTATTCCATGGCAGAAATCAAGTAGTAGGCTTTGATTCTGCCAGACCAGAGGATGAATACTACACCTCTTGCCAACATCTGCCTTCAGCTGCCCAGATACTGTAGCCAACAGAGATGAGTTACTAGAGCCAATAGAAATTAGCTACAGCCATAAGGAGCAACATCAGATGTGATTAGTACACAAAGAAACCACCAGTCACTAGCATCATTTTGTCATTTGAAAAAAAAGAAAACACATTGCTATTGCTAATAGAAGAGAATTTATGTTTACTTTGTACTTTATATGGTTTCATATGCATGTACGAATTTCCTATCCATTTTTATCTATTACATTTTAAGACAACCCAGAAGATAAAAATGTCTTTATCCTAATTTTACAGATACAAGAAGTGTAGTCTAAGAGGGAAAACATTTGTCACACACTACACAGAGCAAATTCAAACTGAGTCTCCCATCCACATTATACATTGTACAAATTCTTTACACCAATGTGTAGAACATTATCCAATACATCATGCCAAATAAATACATGTTGATGACAAAGAATGTACTACAAGATTCATCATAAGATCTTTGTTTATTAATTTGTAAAATATTTGATACAAAAGGGATACATTTTCTTCTGCTTGATTTAAACATAAGACACATATAGAATAATACCAAAGCCCAAATTTAACATAATTTTTAAAAAGAGGGGATACAGAAAATTTGACTACATCTCATGCCTCATTTGGCAGGAGAATGAGCACAGACATTCTCAGATAATTATACTGCTGCTCAAACACTTCTTTTGCACAAGAAGGTGAAGTGTTCATAACGACCCAAGCTTGGAAGACTGGATCTTAATGCCTGGATGTTGCCCTTTGGAAGCAGATGTGTGGCTCCTATATTCAGTTATAAACCACAGAAAAGTAAATGCTGTAATACAATACACATATTTTTTTCACTACCATGGTATAGGACACAGGGGGTTCTTGGTAATTAAGTTTTCTAGAGAAGTATTTAGTTTTTTATATAGTACTATTTCAATATTCTATTTTGAAACAAATTTTCTGCATTTGGCTATATTCCAACTGTTTCAGTCAATAGTCCATGAAGAGAGTATAAAAACTAAATGCTTGAAATTTAAAAACATTTCCATTCTTCCACCAAGACAAAATAGAAATTAAATATTTGGTTAAGAATTGTCAGTCCATCCTTTGGTTACACAGTTGTAAATTTATAGCTGATCCCTACAAACCAGTAATACTGCAGCTGGTTTCACTTTCATAAACTATGTGCAGCACAGAATTCAGAAGGTTAGCGAATACTCTGCTGTCTTCCAGCTCTGGGAAGGATCCTACCTGCTGCATCTGAAGAATAACTGTTTCCCCTTCCACCTAACCCCACAAAGGATTGGAGCACTTTGTAACTGGAAGCCACAGCAGCCTCAGGGGGTGGAAATTAATCCTGGTGTGTGATTGCTAAAGATTTCTGTAAGCTAATAGTGGATAGAACCCTGTGGTTGATGTAAGGGACATTTAGATGTCTTCTAATCATCTCCATGGTCAGATTTTTAATCTCTCTCTCTCTCTCTCTCTCTCTCTCTCTCTCTCCTTCTGTCTCTCTCTCCCTCTCTCTCCTCTCATCTTCCTCCTTCTTTCTCTTCAGATAGTTGGGGTTTTCTCAGTTTCTCATGGAAATGCAACTTAAATGCTCTGTTTACCCCAATCCACTGCAACCCCTAAATCTTTCTATATAGACATTTAGGAGGCATTTTTGTTAATAGCCAGTACTGAAAAAGTCCTAGATTGAAGCTGTAAGGAATACATCGCTGTTTTCACTCAAGCCTCCTCTCTACTCCTCTAATCACTTTCTTGGTTGGATCTGCATCTCTTTGTGGTTATAAAGAGCAGGGGTGTGGTCAACTGACTCATTGCCTACCCTGTTTTTTTTTTTTTAATTTTATTGAGCTTTTTAAATTTTATACATTTCCCACTCAAATCCAGACCCCCTCCCCAATCCATGCCTCCCCCTATCCCCCCACCAAACCCTATGCACTCTGCCATACATGCTGAGTCCTATTCTTTCCGGTGTTTGTACCCAAGTGTCCTTCAGTGTAAATGTGTCCACTGGAGTCTAGTCAGCCCATCCTGTGGTCGTATGTAAGTCATATTCTCCCTTACCCACCAGCAATCAGTCTCAAATAGTTTTCAATCTGGTGCTGGCCGGCCACCTATTTTTCACCTCCCCTTTGGGCCCTTGTTTAATTGAGCTGACATGTGCCTGGAAATCTCCACCTCCCTGTGTTCATGGAACAACCCTGGCTCTTACAGTCTTTCTGCCTCTTCTTCCACAATGGTTCCTGAGCTGTGGGTAGGTGAGGTTCCATACAGGAGTCCCATCCTATACTCTGCAGTCTCTTATTCTCTAAAACTTGGCCAGTTGTGGCCTTATATGTCCATTGCACTCTGATGTACAAGGAAGCCTCACTGGTGAGAGTTGAGGGGTGCATTAGCCCTCTCTGTATCCCTTTTTCTGCTATGTCCATGGGTCTTAGTTGTTCCCTGTTTTCAACTGAGCTTCTGGATTTCAATCCCTGTGATCCCTGCATAACTGAGGGTCTACCACAGAGGCAGCTCCCTCACACAGAGAGAAGCCTGCTGTCCTCTAGCTGCAGCAACTTCAATGCTGTGACTTTGGTCACCTTGGGGCTAGCCTCTACTGCAAATAGTACTCAGATTGTTTCCAAATTTCCATCACGAGAAACAGTAATGCTTCTCAAAACTGCTTTGGTTTGTTCCAGGAAGAGTGGCAGAAATGATGAAATCTCTTGTTGAGGGAAATTTGCTTTGTGGTAGGAAATAGAAAATAAATGTTTCTTTGATCATGGGGGACCCTGGTCTTCCTCTCTCTCTTCTCCTAGGCACCTGGGGTGAGCACTGCCAGCCTGAGATCTCTGAGCCAGACAAACAATCCTCCCCCTGGGGTTTTTCAGGGCAATCTTCTAGGTGAGTCTCCTGTTTCAACCTTCTTTCTGGTGTAACTAGGAATTCTTCTCCATCCCCAGGCTCCTCACCATGCCCCCCATCCAGGGGTCTTAATAGAAGACCTTCGTTTGTGCATGCTCTCCTCCTTGTTTGCTTGCCACATCTGCTTGTCCAGATAACAGCCCTTCTGAAGCCCTTGGCTTTTTCTGATTGTTCAGAGTAACATATGTTGAAAACAAGCCTGGTTGTTATAGATTTGTTTGATGTGACACGAGATGCATGGGAATCGCCACTGATAACAGAAGTACTATGGCAGTGATGCTAAGGAGGTATCTTCAGCCACTCACTCTAGGATTCTACACAAGATACCAAGTACTATTCCACTGAGGTATACCCATTATATGAAGCCATTTTTATAGCATAAGCTTAAAAAGCTTTGAAACAGATGTAGTAAAACTTCCAGAACGCCTGATATTAGGGGTGTTTAAGGAAGGAAAGCGGATCTAAAGGGGTTTTTCACGACAATAGATTTCATGGAGAAAGTGGTAGTTTGCAGGGACTCATCTGTCTTTGGGCCTCTGAACATGACTTAGGGACCATTGTCTTCAGCATGCTGGATGCTCCAGGCTGTGCCCTTTCAGTTCTTTGAGGGGTGTGGTTCACCAAAAGTTTCACTGTTGATGTTGGACACTAAGGCTCATACTACAGACAGTGACAAGAAGAAGAGGAAAACTACACATGATCAGATTTAGACTGGCCCCAGAACAGCTTCTAGTGGTATTAGGGATGACCTCTATGACTAGACTAACCCGTAGATTCTGTGAATAAAATAGTTATGTGTCTTAAAAACATCCATTCTCTTTGTTATTATGCCATATGTGATATTTATTCAAAATTATTATCAAATTTATGAAATATATTTAGGAAAGTATAGTCTAAAATAAAGAACATATTACAAATATATGCATGCATAGGAGTATCTATTTTCATAGCAATGTACAATGTATTTGATTATATCCACTCTCCCCTTTGACTCCTCCTAAACCCCACATGATACACCCCACTCCCAACTACATATCCATTTTTTCTTAACCTATTGAATCCAATTATTACTGCCTATATGTGCATGTGTGTATCATCATCCAGTAATGCCTGGGTAACATGCCAAGGGCCATATCCCTGAAGTAAAATAACTGTCTTTCTCCTGAGTAGACATCCCCTGCCAATAATTCCTAAGGCAGGGCTAGGGCTTGATATCTTTCCCATCCATGCTGAAATGTGGAATAGTTTAATCCTGTGCAGCTACCCACAGCTGCTCCGGGTTTATGAGTGCGATGGTCCTGTCATATTTAAAGACAGTGATTCCCAGCAGGCCTCCATGACCTTTGGTGCTCAGAAACTTTCTACCATTTCTTGATGGTCTCTGAGCCTTAGTCATGGTGAGAAAAGGATGTGGTGGAGGGTGGAGAGGTAATAGGTGGGTATTATAGATATCCATTTAGTACTGAGTGCTTCACGGTCACATATTCTCTGCATTTGTGCCACTTATGAGTCACATAACACTATTTTTAAAAGGAAAAATAGAAACACAAGCAAAACATTGGGTGGTGACAACACTAAGTCCTGAAGAAATGTGACAAAGTAAGAGATCTGCGACATGGGAGTCCATTTGGATCACACGGGTTTTCGTGTGGAGGTTTGGGCGTTTCACTCTAAGTGACTGGCAGGAAAATCAGCAGCAGGGACAGCACTCATTTCCATCCTCGTTGATGAAATGCCTTCTCTGGGACAGGCTTAGTGTCAGAAGTTCCCACATATATATTTATACGTGGAATACAGAGATGATGGATCTCATTTTGAGTTGAGAATACTGATGTGCAATGGGGTTAATTATGGCATCTACACAGATGCCTGTGAAAGGTTCATTAAACACTGCAAAAGTAGAATTGGTGTGTAATGTGTCCTTGAGGTGTTATGGAGTTCTAGTTTAGTTAGCACTTTGAGCCTCCCAAACTTAGCAGCAACAAATCTCCTAGTTCCAATAATAACTATTTGAATTTATTCTTCCAGAGAAGCACATAGCTGCTAGTGTTGATTTTGTAACTCCTCACATGGCCTCTGTTCCTGATGTATCTTTTCACAGAAAACATAGTGTCCCAATGGAGCGTTCTTGTGGCCTACTTACTTGCAGAAAGGAGCCAGGTAAGCCAGACTCCCATATTTTTAATGCCAGGATATTTAGTATCTGACACTGTTTCTCATCAAAGGCTGACAATCATCTAGTAAAGCTTTTTGAACATTTGAACCCCAATTTCTCCTCAGTGCCACTGAAGAGCGTCTCTGTGACCCTGTCCATCAATGACTTTGTGGCTGGTGTCTCTGCAACCTTAAACTATGAGAATGAGGAGAAAGTCCCCTTGGAGGCCTTCTTTGTGTTCTCCATGGATGAAGACTCTGCTGTCTACAGCTTGGAGGCCTTGGTGGATGGGAAGACAATTGTGGCAGAACTGCAGGAGAAGATGAAGGTGGGGGCTGAGTCCTTGATCTCCTCTCTTCTTGTTTCTTTATTGCATTCTCATTTGTTTTCATGTACAATTCATAAGTTCTAGTATAGAATGTTCTTTCAATTCTAAATACGATTTGTGTCACACGAGTAGAGCAGAGGGAAAAATTAGGGGCTATTAGAATGTAGCTCTGAAGTTCATAGGACTATTCACACCAGTTCAGACCTTCTTGACTACTTGTGATTTCATTTCCACCCCTCACTCTCCTCCCTTAGGCTCATAGCAGCTATGAGTATGCCCTCTCCCAGGGTCAGAAGGCCTACTTATTGGAAGCAAACAACTATTCCAGGGATGTCTTCTCTTGCAATGTTGGGAACCTGCAGCCTGGGGCCAAGGTGGCACTTACTCTGAAGTATGTGCAGGAGTTGAATCTGGAAGAAGATGGGGCCCAGCGACACATGTTCCCAGCAATCCTGAATCCTAGATACCAGCTATCTGGTCAGTACTCTGATGCTTTGACCACCAATGCCGGAATTATTGAGGAGAATTCTCCTAAGTTTATGGATATGATGTAAACTATTGACATGATAAACAGAACTCAGTTAGTTACCTTTTTGTAGACCGGTCTGGGGACAGTTGCCTGGATATGAAGACTCCCATAGGCCCTTTGGAGGATCTGCCCTACACACTCAGCCTGGTGGCCACCATCAGCTCCCAGCACAGCATAGAGAGGGTCCAATCAAACTTGTTCCTTGAATCCTGTTGAGTACCTTGGACAAGATAAGACTTCTGCCCAGGTGATTAGTAAGACAGCATAGTTTCTGCCTGCTCCCTGTGCCTCAGCGCTGCACCTGATCCTCACCCAGACTTCCAGATCTTCTTTCCTTCTTCTAGTCACTCAGAAGGTGGGATGCTGTCTTTTTTCTCTACCCTGGGTAAAGTGTGGAGTCCTTTTTCCCAGTCTTCCCTGTGCTTCTGATTATGCTCATGGTGGAGAAAGCCTGCAAGTATGAGCTTTGACCTCATCACAGAGAGAAAACAGTCACATTTCCAATGTCTCCCCTCTGCTGCTCTCCAATGCAGGTTTCCTTGGCTGAAGGACACAAGTTTGATCGGGATGTGGAGCTCCTGATTTACTACGGGGAAGTGCACAGCCCCAGTGTACCTGTGGAGATGGGGATGCCTGAAATGAAGCCAGGTATTTCCTGTCTCACTCTCTGTTCCTTTTCTTAGAGGTAACTCCAAATTATTCTTGATTTTCTAGCCTTTTATTCAGTGGCAGGCAAAATCGTCATGAAATTTCAAAGGACTTTTTGTATATTCACATGCAATATTTGGGCTTAATAAATAATCAGCTGGTTATGTCTTCTATGTCACTTTAGGTATATTAGTAGATAATTGGGGAAAGAATGTGAACAAGTAATTCACAAGTGACAACTCAGTCTATTATAAGCATCTGACAAAGACTGCTCTTGACCAAAAAAAAAAAATAAAAAAAGAAATAAAGGCCTCACTCATTCTTTAAGTTGTGTGATTGTGTGGTGAGTTTTTCACGCTGATGAATTATGAAAATAAAATAGTTTGAAAGTAGCTGTATAAAAAGTATTTCATTTAAAATTAGTAAATATTCATTAAGGCAATTCTAAAATTTCCCACATTTCATTTTAAATAAATCTAAACATGTAGATGGTGTCAACTAGCATTTAAAAGGATCTTATATTAGTAAATGATTAAAATATAATGCATTAATGAAATTCATTGTGTCATCAGTATATGATGAATGATGCTGTCTTTACTAAAATAATGAAAAGAGGGGCAACATGGTAGAATTGGGGGATGAACTAGAAGGTGTGGAAATAATGCAATTACAATACTCATGTATGACCTCAAAAATGAAATCTAAAATATTTAAATATTTCAAATAAAAGGCCTCAAAATATTAGGAGGAAAAAGTAGTTATACACCTGATTACCAATATTAAATAACAGCTGAATTAGTAAGATAAATGTACTCTAATAAAGGAAATATGCTTAGATTAGCAATAGCTTTATTTTCAAAAATATTTTATATTTCACTATCTTTTATTAACCCATCACACCTAAATATCATCACACTAGCATTTTTTAACACTGTGATTGATATGAATGACAATTTAATGTTTAGCTATCTTTAGGTGTTTTGTACCCTTTAGTGATTGAGCTTTGGAATAATCAAAGGTCTTCGCCACAAAATCTCTTTCTTTGTGTCCTACTTGAGCATTTCTTAGACTAAGTTTAACTTTCCAATGATTTTTGTTTCTCATCTACCTTTAGTAGTGTTAGTTTTCAATTTTCCTTAATTATAGACGTTCTTTCTTGTAATTATACTTGCACAGTCCATGTATATCTCTTGCTCTTTGGTGCTTTCTGACCCACTCTGTCCTTGGTCCTTGGGATCATCACACAAGTCGTAAAGAATTCTGTAGCTTTGATATCTCCACATGCATTTGATGGAAGCATCCTGTGCTCAGTGACAGTCACAGTGCGATGCTGGCTTGCGTTCCTGCTTCTGTAACTACAAGTATTATGAAGACCTTTCCATGAAGCTGGTTCACAGTCATCCACTACAATATTTGGCAATATTTGGCCAAGGTGCCTTCACATTGAGCTCACCAATGGATGCGCCTTGGTTTGTCCTCAATGTCCAGCCAGGTTTCTCTCAGTCAATCTGTCTTTGCTGAGGTCACTTGCCTCCTCCGAGTCTCTGGAACCAGCTCTTCTTCCATGTGAGTCCATGCCCTATCTTTGGGTACTAGTTAGGTTTTTGTTTCTTTCTGATATTCTTGGGTGCCCATAAAATATTTCAACTCTGACCACATTTTCAGTCTGAATCATTTTAATCTACCACATAAACCTTCAAGATGTTAGATCTTAATATGTACAAATGAGGTCTCCCTTTCTTCCCTTCCAAGATGTCCTCTTAATACTATGATAATTGCTCAGCTATTCCCTGTGACCAGGTCAACAGGACATCAGACCATACACAAGGTAAATTTCTCGACCTTGGTCATTCCTTCCATGTATAGTACCTATGTCTTGCTCTTGGGGCATATATTTTGCTCAGATATCTTTCAGTTCTCTAGCCTTCACAGAAGCACATGGAAAACCTAAGAGGTAGTTTGGCTTATTAAACCCTTCAGTGTTGTGCCAAAATGAAACACAGCACTACATGATGGCACTAAATATTTAAGACATCAAATGTATTATTCCACAAAATTAAAAAAGAAATGGGTGGAAATACTGAAAACACAATACCCATGTATTCTCAAAAATGAAATTAAGTTAAAATTTAAAATGACGATTGTATAAAAATTGCAGTTTACAGCTTGGACTGAGTTATGTCCAATTCTGTATTCCTCATGTGTCCCTGAATCCTTACCACAATCTTGTAATAAGAATTATTACTGTGGGGTCAGAGAGCTTACTCAGCAGTTAAGTACTAGCTGCTCTTTCAGAAGACCTAGGTTTGAATCCAAGCACCTACCTAGTGTCTAACAACCATTTAACTCCATTTCCAGGGGATCTGATGCTCTCTCTGTTGTTCTCTGGCATTGCAGGACTCGGGGGCACATATATACATGCAGGCATAATACTAAGACACATAAAATAAAAATAAAGAAGTAAACATTTTTTAAAAAAAGAATTATTACTTGATTGCTCATTGGAGGAAACTGAGGCTATCTCCTGAACTAAGGGCTTAGGTTTGAAATGCCTTATTTAAAACAATGAAGTTCTGATTTATGAAGATGAATTATTCTTTGACTTATCCTGAAATAATCATAGTAAATAGCATGCACACAGTGCTTACTACCTATGTGGCATTGTTCTAAGCAGTGCAGACACATTCATCACCACCATTCTCGTGGCAGCCTTTCTGACTTCTCAGTACAGTACTATTCCCACTGTGGCCTACTATTTCTCAGCATGGGCAGGAGTCTATTTTACACGTTACATTTATGCCTAGAATCCTGAATCTGGTTCATAACTAATCTCATTTTCAACTAGTTCTCTAGGAGAACACCTACATTCCTAAGTAAGAACGTTCTCTTATCTTTTGTGAGTTTAAGCAGTAAGCACAAGAGCAAGATTTTTTCCAATGGTTTTATTAATCAGTGATCCCTGTGACAAATTTCCCATTGATTTGAGTTGAAGAAAAGGTTTATCTCTGTAAGAAATCCTGCCTGCATCTTTTGCTCATGCTGAAAAATTTTAACCTGATGTGTCCCATTCAGTTGCTAAGATACCAAGAAATTTAGATACATTGATATCCTATCTGCTCTGTTTCTTTCTCTATGCTTACAACTCACCTCTAGCCTGTGCAAGCAGGGAATGCATAAAGGTCACACACAGAGTTCATATCTGAGCTTTCCCAACTCTCTATCAAAATAATTAATTCCTGGTCATTTTAGAATCCTGGGTTCCTTGTGCCCTATGGGGCTTTTCTCCTTTCCGTGTAGTTGGATGGGAGCTCCTTCTGCAATGGTGGGGTTCTATCCAGATATCTCAGAAGTAGAGATCTCCAGTAGCTGTGGAAAATTTGTCTTCCTCATGGACCGCTCAGGAAGTATGAACTCCCCCATGAGTAACCAAGCCAGGTCTCAGCTGCAGATAGATGCTGCCAAGGTAAAGGAGATTCTTTTTCATGAGTCCCATGTACAATTAAGGATGGTTTGGAAGGGTACGAATAGAGGCCATTTGTAGTTGTATGTCTGATCTCCATCTGTATAACAGCAAACATGCCCACTCTGAAACCAGTCCAGAAAATATAAGAAGTTAAAAGGAAGGATGACCTTGTACATCCCAGAACTTAGACAGGGTCAGGATATTTCATAGAGTGCTCCTTCGCTCTGTCTCCTCATCTTCTCTCATCTTCAGGAAACACTCACTCTTCTGATGAAGAGTTTGCCTCTAGGCTGCTATTTCAATATTTATGGATTTGGATCTTCCTATGAATCATTCTTTCCGTAAGTTTTTGGGAAGTCCGTGGAGTATGAAGGAGGGTAATGTCAAAAATGAGTAGTGCAGAGCTGATCTGAGCATTGGGGTAATCAGGAGAAATTTATGATAGATTTCTCAGAGTGGCAACGTGAGGCCACTGTCATGTGACTGATTCTGCTTGTTTCTCTAGAACGAGTGTGCAGTACACTCAGAAAACAATGGAGGAGGC